GTTTTGTTTGGGTAAAAGATAGAGAGAGAGAGTGAGAAAGGCACCAGGGATTTGCAATAACTTTGCAATAGATATTTTAATCAGAAATATACTGTTAAATAAACACAAATTATCCAAGCAGTGAGACACTTCAGAGGTTCTAGTGATTTGCTGGTTCGGCTCCTTAGGAATTAAGTCATTGGGCGCTTGCTGGTATTTTCTTGTTTTGAAATATACATCTAGAAAACAGGTGAAAATTCAACATTAAACACCCTAATATGTCTCATAGCTCTTGGTTCACCACCAGATTTTTATAGAGAGTGGGAGCACTATAAGTTCCTGTCAGAGATTGACTCAGTGCTCTCCCTCTCCCTCCCCTTTTCCCCACCGCATTTCTCAGAGTTGGGTTATAACATATACATGAGTGGCTTGAAATACAGCAAGGTTATTCTCCCCCTGCACTTCAAGGCACATTTTTCTGTCGATGCACAGACCAGAGAAGGGACAGGGATGTTTTCATTTGTCGTTTGGAGAGGGGAGACACAAGAGCGGTGTGTCTCAGTGCTGCTCTCTCACTTACAGAATGCTCTCCCCAGGGAGGCATGCCTGGCACCAGCTTGTTGGGGTGTGTGTTTTTCTTCCTCCTGTAAATCTTGTTATCTTTGTATGCCCCACAGAAGCTTCAGTCAAGTAGTTAAGCTCACAAACACAAAACAATTGTTTTAAGCAAAGTTGTTTTCTTGGTACAAACAAAACACACACTTTATTTACACACTTTATACAGGTTACATGATGCCTTCTCTCTCTGAGCCCAGAGAAGGCATTTTGCTTCAAAGTCCTTGCTGTGTTAAGGTTCACAGCTAAGTCCAAATTCCATTTTTAACAGCCTTGCAACTGATAAGAGTTTTCTGAGTTCTGATGTCTGATAGTTTTCCAACTTCTTTCTTAGACGATCTCTTCAAAAGGTCTTCCCTCAAATCCACAGTTCCAAAAGATAGCCTTCAACAATAACTGTTATTATGACCCACACAGTATGTTGTAAACTGAGCCCTTTTATACAGAAAGTTAATTACCAAATGTGCCCAGTAACTCAAATGTGCCCATTGACTCATAGAGAATTAACCCATTAACTGCCTTCCTTAACACATCTATATCCAATTGTAGGTGCCAGGTGCTGGGTCCCCCATTTCTACCTTACTCGGTCTATTCCCATTTCAATGCTGCTTGCTCTCTCTGAGGCATTTACCCCACTGGTGAACTGAGCATTCAAAGAAAGAGGTAGAAGCAACTTTTCCACAGCACTGTTGGCTCATACAGCAGCTACCCCACAATTCTGTGTAAAATAATTAAGAGAAGGTTAATATCGATGTCTGAAATCAAAGCACAGAACAGGGAAGGAACCCCATTTGACGAAACAATCGGCGTTAAATTTTGACATAATAAAAATCACTAAGCAAACAGAGTAAAATGCAGAAAAGGGCATACCCAGCAGGAGGTTTCCTGTGCAAACTTCCTTACAATGGCCAGGCAGCCTTGTGCAGGAGAATATCCGGTAGACTGTATCCTCAGTGCATATGTATGGCGCACGCATGCACACACACACACACACACACACACACACACTTACACAGATGGTATTGTTCTTGGGAGGGGATGTCACTTCCATAAGGTCTTGGTGACCCTTAAGATGAAGGCTTCATCCAACATTTTAGTTGATGTAGTATCCTTATTGATTTCTGTTTCAGTCTGGGATTCATGAAGATCAGGATAACAGCATGGCCAGAGGAATATGAAGCTAACACATTTAAAATAAGTATGAGTGCCCAAACATCTGTAATGCCTATCCAGTAGTTGAGTATGGTCAAAATTTCCATGATAAAGCTAGATATGTAGAGAATGGAGAAAGAAGCCAGGGCTTTGATGGCATTCAGGTGAACCTCTGTGCTGGCATCCCTTAGCACTGCTTTGTAGAAGGTTTTTGTGTCTCCACAGAGAAGTTAGTAATAAGATGGACGAGGACAGAAATATCATGAAGGGAAGGAAATTTGGAGCGGTATATAGAAGGGAAACATACCAACAGTCGTTAGACATTTTAATTCTGAGTCACTGTTATTGCTTGAGAATGATTCAAATAGATTACATTTAGTCATTTTGCTACTGCCTATTACTGCCACAGTGGTGGTGATTGCAGAGAAGCCCACAGTCCCCAGAAGCAGCCAAGGCACCAGCCCAGGGAATCTCCGCTTCATTTGCAGGAAGAGAGGGTGGGAGAAGTTAGCAATTTTTACACAGTACAAGACACTGAGCCAAGTGGCAAACCAAAGGTCAGTAGTAGTAACAAATGTCCAGCTGCTGTAGCCTGCCATTTTTACATCCGTTGGTCGAACAGCGTCCATGAAAAAGAGGTTGAATATTGCCGACTGTATCACAACTTCATGAAATAGAAATCTGAACAAGCCAAGACAGCTCAGGATCATGTCAGCTGGGGAAAGTTTTCTGCTTCTATGCCAGTCAATGAAGTTAACGATAGCAATAAATCCATTTCCCACCATTCCTATGAGGGTTTCAATAACAAGAAGAATGAAGCCGAACAATTCATATGAGGTTGGCATATTTCTGAGCAGGTAATAAGAGCTTTTCTTCCACTATAATGTTGAATATTAGCCCTGTCTGCTGCTGATGCTTCCCTTTATATGACCAGTGTAGAGCTCAATCTTTCCGCCTTCTATCTATAACAGAAATGCTTGTAGAGAGAGGAAGGAGCTATTTTCAGTTGTTGATTCTCTTCAGATGCAAATCACACCTGGAAAGATTCTATTACTAAATCTGTATCATCTGTTCTGTTGTCATATTTGCAAATTCTACAGAGGTGCTAAATATCATCTTTGCATCTGGCTTAGCAAACAATGATGCATGACTCTTTTTTGATTTGTTGATTTTGAAGAATGTTTGTTCGATAGTGTTACTATTTTAATCCAGCTGAAAACATATTTATCTAATAATTTAGTATGTTTATTGTGTTTGTGTGGGAGGTTGATTTGATTATTTGGATAATTAAAGCAGGGTGCTTAATTAGCCGGCCAGTAGCAGGAATGTCTAGAATTACATTTCCTAAGGAAAATGGAAACTAGGGGAATTAAACAAAAGGAAGCTGAGTATTGGTATTTGTCATTCTGGACTTTTTCTACAGCTTATTTCTGTAGATGATGATATTAATAAAGTTGGGATAAGTTGATGGAAAAAGAGATTCCAATTTTGACAGCCACATTTCTCAGACTTAGGTTATGACATACACATTAGTGGCTTGAAATGCAGTGAGGTCATTCTCGCCACTGCCTTTCAAGTCACATTTTTTTTGCGGATGCACAGACCAGAGAGGGGACAGAGATATTTCCAAGCAATGCACTTTGTCGCTCCACACTGGCAAACCTCACAACTCTAATATAATGGCTGCCATATGTGCATGCACAACAGCATACACACCTCACATAATGGTGTCTCCAGGCATGAAGCAAACTCCTCTCCTTGTGCCACCTCCTCCATTTGTCGTTTGGGGAGGGGAGACACAAGAGCAGTGTGTTTCAGTGCTGTTTTCTCACTTAAAGGATGCTCTCCCCAGAGAGGCATGCCTGGCACCAGCTTGTGGGGGTGGGTGTGTTTTTCTTCCTCCTGTAAATCTTGTTATCTTTGTATGCCCCACAGATGCTTCAGTCAAGTGGTTAAACTCACTAACACAAAACAGTTGTTTAAGGAAAGTTGTTTTACTTTGTGCACACAAAACACACACTTTATTTATACATATACACTTTATCAAGGTTACATGATGCCTTCTCTCTCTGAGCCCAGAGAGGGCATTTTGCTTCAAAGTCCTTGCTGTGTTAAGGTTCACAGCTAAGTCCAAATTCAGTTTTTTAACAGCCTTGCAACTGATGGAGTTTTCTGAGTTCTGATGTCTGACGGTTTTCCAAGTTCTTTCTTAGGCGATCTCTTCAGAAAGTCTTCAGTCAAATCTACAGTTCCAAGAGACAGCCTTCAACAACTCTTGCAGTCTCCTACCAGGACCCACACAGCATTTTGTAAACTGTGCACTTTTATACACACAGTTAATTACCAAATATGCCCAGTAACAAAGGTAAGAGAGTCACAAAATGCCTACAGCTGCATTGTGGGGCATGAGTAATCTCTACTGACTTGTACAAGATTAACCCATTAATTGCCTTCCTTAACACACCTTTATCCAATTTTAGGTGCCAGGTGCTGGGTCCCCCATTTTTAGCTTACTCGGTTCATTCCCATTTCAGTGCCACTTGCTCTCTCTGAGGCACTTACTCCACTGGTGGGGGAATGGGGAAGGAACCCCATTTGGCAGAATAATCATCGTTAATTTTTGACATAATAATAAATCATTAAGCAAACAGAGTAAAATGCAGAAAAGGGCATACCCAGCAGGAAGTTCTCCTGCGCAAACTTCCTTTCAATGGCCAGGCAGTCTTGTGCAGGAGAATGTCTGGTAGACTGTATCCTCAGCGCATATGTATGCGCGCTCACACACACACACACTTACACAGATAGTATTGTTCTTGCGAGGGGATGTCACTGTTGGGATACTGCCAGGTAGACAAAGGCCATCATGCCTCCATGTCGATTCCGGACGGTCCATCGATCTCCCGTAGATACAGTATCAGTCAATTAGCGACGCAAGCCTCAGAAATAGTTTGCCACATTCCAGGGCTTGTGCACGCTCTTTCAGCAGAGTTCGCACAGCGAAAGATGCACTCAGGAGAGCATTATTTACAACTTCATTCAGCGTTGGTCAGAACAAAGAAAAAAACATGACTGTTTGCTTCGATGTCCAGGCGCAGAGAGAGAAAACAAAAGCTATATACAAAAACAGAAACATCCTGTGAACAGGAAATAGGCAGGCTGTGACACAACAACCTGCTCCCTTCTTAAGGTGGAACGGAAATATCCTAACAGTCACTTCCATAAGGTCTTGGTGACCCTTAAGATGATGGCTTCATTCAACATTTTAGTTGATGGAGTATCCTTATTGATTTCTGTTTCAGTCTGGGATTCATGAAGATCAGGATAACAGCATGGCCAGAGGAATATGAAGCTATCACATTTAAAATAAGTATGAGTGCCCAAGCATCTGTAATGCCTATCCAGTAGAAGAGTATGCTCAAAATTTCCATGAGAAAGCTAGATACATAGAGAATGAGGAAAGAAGCCAGGGCTTTGATGGCATTCTGGTGAACCTCTGTGCTGGCATCCCTAGCACTGCTTTGTAGAAGGTTTTTGTGTCTCCACAGAGAAGTTAGTAATAAGATGGACGAGGACAAAAATATCATGAAGGGAAGTAAATTTGGAGCGGTATATAGAAGGGCAACATACCAACAGTCGTTAGACATTTTAATTTCCGAATCACTGTTATTGCTTGGGAATGATTCAAATAGATTACATTTAGTCATTTTGCTACTGCCTATTACTGCCACAGTGGTGGTGATTGCAGAGAAGCCCACAGTCCCCAGAAGCAGCCAAGGCACCAGCCCAGGGAATCTCCGCTTCATTTGCAGGAAGAGAGGGTGGGAGAAGTTAGCAATTTTTACACAGTACAAGACACTGAGCCAAGTGGCAAACCAAAGGTCAGTAGTAGTAACAAATGTCCAGCCGCTGTAGCCTGCCATTTTTACGTCCGTTAATCGAACAGCGTCCATGAAAAAGAGGTTGAATATTGCCGACTGTATGACAACTTCATGAAATAGAAATCTGAACAAGCCAAGACAGCTCAGGATCATGTCAGCTGGGGAAAGTTTTCTGCTTCTCTGCCAGTCAATGAAGTTAACGATAGCAATAAATCCATTTCCCACCATTCCTATGAGGGTTTCAATAACAAGAAGAATGAAGCCGAACAATTCATATGAGGTTGGCATATTTCTGAGCACGTAATATAAGCGTTTCTTCCACTATAATGTTGAATATTAGCCCTGTCTGCTGCTGATGCTTCCCTTTATATGAGCAGTGTAGAGCTCAATCTTTCCACCTTCTATCTATAACAGAAATGCTTGTAGAGAGAGGAAGGAGCTATTTTCAGTTGCTGATTCTCTTCAGATGCAAATCACACCTGGAAAGATTCTATTACTAAGTCTGTATCATCTGTTCTGTTGTCATATTTGCAAATTCTACAGAGGTGCTAAATATCATCTTTGCATCTGGCTTAGCAAACAATGATGCATGACTCTTTTTTGATTTGTTGATTTTGAAGAAAGTTTATTTGATAGTGTTACTATTTTTAATCCAGCTGAAAACATATTTATCTAATAATTTAGTATGTTTATTTTGTTTGTGTGGGAAGTTGATTTGATTATTTGGATAATTAAAGCAGGGTGTTTAATTAGCCGGCCAATAGCAGGAATGTCTAGAATTACAGTGGTGCCTCGCAAGACGAAAAGAATCCGTTCTGTGATTCTCTTCGTCTAGCGGTTTTTTCGTCTTGCGAAGCAAGCCCATTGACGGAATAGTGGATTAGCGCTATTAGCGCTATTAGCGGCTTTTAGCAGCTTATCTGCTGATCGGATCAGCTGATAAGCGGCTTAGCGGCTTAGAAAAAGGGGGGGAAGGAAAAAAACCCCGCAGGAACTCGCAAGGCATTGTCGTCTTGCGAAGCAAGCCCATAGAAAATTTGTTTTGCGAAGCACCTCCAAAACGGAAAACTCTTTCGTCTAGCGAGTTTTCCGTCTTGCGAGGCATTCGTCTTCCGGGGCACCACTGTACATTTCCTAAGGAAAATGGTAACTAGGGGAATTAAACATCACGAAGCTGAGTATTGGTATTTGTCAGTCTGGACTTTTTCTACAGCTTATTTCTGTAGATGATGATATTAATAAAGTTGGGATAAGTTGATGGAAAAAGAGATTCCAATTTTGACAGCACATTTCTCAGACTTAGGTTATGACATACACATTAGTGGATTGAAATGCAGTGAGGTCATTCTCGCCACTGCCTTTCAAGTCACATTTTTCTGCAGATGCACAGACCAGAGAGGGGACAGAGATATTTCCAAGTGATGCACTTTGTCGCTCCACACCGGCAACACTCACAATTCTAATTCAATGGCTGCCATTTGTGCATGCACAACAGCATACACATCTCACATTAACGTTGTCTCCAGATATGAAGCAAACTCCTCTCCTTGTGCCACCTCCTCCATTTGTTGTTTGGGGAGGGGAGACACAAGAGCAGTGTGTCTCAGTGCTGCTTTCTCACTTAAAGGATGCTCTCCCCAGGGAGGCATGCCTGGCACCAGCTTGTTGGGGTGTGTGTTTTTCTTCCTCTTGTAAATCTTGTTATCTTTGTATGCCCCACAGATGCTTCAATCAAGTTGTTAAACTCACCAACACAAAACAGTTGTTTAAGGAAAGTTGTTTTACTTGGTACACACAAAACACAAAATCTATTTATACATATACACTTTATAAAGGTTACATGATGCCTTCTCTCTCTGAGCCCAGAGAGGACATTCTGCTTCAAAGTCCTTGCTGTGTTAAGGTTCACAGCTAAGTCCAAATTCAGTTTTTTAAGAGCCTTGCAACTGATAAGAGTTTTCTGAGTTCTGATGTTTGACAGTTTTCAACTTCTTTCTTAGATGGTCTCTTCAAAAGGGCTTCCCTCAAATCCACAGTTCCAAAAGATAGCCTTCAACAATTCCATCTGTCATGACCCATACAATAAGGTGTAAACTGAGCCCTTTTAGACAGAAAGTTAATTACCAAATGTGCCCAGGAATTCAAATGTGCCCATTTGACTCATAGAGGATTAACCCATTAACTTCCTTCCTTAACACATCTATATCCAATTTTAGGTGCCGGGTGCTGGGCCCCCCATTGTTAGCTTACTCGGTCTATTCCCATTTCAATGCTGCTTGCTCTCTCTGAGGCATTTACTCCCCTGGTGAACTGAGCATTCAAAGAAAGAGGTAGAACCAACTTTTCCACCACACTGTTGGCTCATACAGCAGCCACCCCACGCTGCTGTAGAAATAATTAGGAGAAGGTTAGTATCAATATCTGAAATTAAAGCACAGAACAGGGAAGGAACTCCCTTTGACGGAACAATTGTCGTTAAATTTTGACATAGTAAAAAATCATTAAGCAAACAGAGTAAAATGCAGAAAAGGGCATACCCAGCAGGAGGTTTTGTGCAAACTTCCTTTCTATGGCCAGGCAGTCTTGTGCAGGAGAATATCCGGTAGACTGTGTCCTCAGTGCATATGTATGCACACACACACACACACACACACACACAAACAGATAGTATTGTTCTTGGGAGGGGATGTCACTTCCATAAGGTCTTGGTGACCCTTAAGATGATGGCTTCATTCAACATTTTAGTTGATGTAGCATCCTTATTGATTTCTGTTTCAGTCTGGGATTCATGAAGATCAGGATAACAGCATGGCCAGAGGAATATGAAGCTAACACATTTAAAATAAGTATGAGTGCCCAAACATCTGTAATGCCTATCCAGTAGTTGAGTATGGTCAAAATTTCCATGATAAAGCTAGATATGTAGAGAATGGAGAAAGAAGCCAGGGCTTTGATGGCATTCAGGTGAACTTCTATGCTGGCATCCCTTGCACTGCTTTGTAGAAGGTTTTTGTGTCTCCACAGAGAAGTTAGTAATAAGATGGACGAGGACAGAAATATCATGAAGGGAAGGAAATTTGGAGCGGTATATAGAAGGGAAACATACCAACAGTCGTTAGACATTTTAATTCTTGAGTCACCGTTATTGCTTGGGAATGATTCAAATAGATTACATTTAGTCATTTTGCTACTGCCTTTCTCCTTTGGCAGAACACTCGTCGTCCAGTTTTGATATAATAATAAATCATTAAGCAAACAGAGTGAATATGGTATCAAAAATGCAGAAAAAGGCACACCAAGATGGAAGTTCTCCTGTGCAAACCTCTATACAATGGCTTGGCTGTCTTGTGCAGAGGAACATCTGCAAGGCTGTCCTCAGTGCATATGTGTCACATGTACACCCACAGGCAGGCAGGCAGAAAGCATTGTCATTGCAGAAGAAGAAGCCACTTCCATACAGTCTTGGTAGAATTTGAGATGGTTTCTTCAATTAGCATTTTAGTTGATGTAGCATCTTGATTGATTCTTGTTTCAGTTTGGGATTAATGAAGAGCAGGATAACTGCATGGCCAGAGGAATATGCAATAATCAAATTGAAAAGAAAAAATTGTTTACCAATGCCTTTCATGCCCATCCGAAATAAAACTATCGCCAAAATTTCCACAAAAAAGCTAGCTACGTAGAGAATGCAGAAAGAAGCCAGAGCTTTGATGGCATTCCGGTGAGCTTCTGTGCTGACATCCTTTGCATTGTTTTGTAGTAACTTTTTGTGCCGCCACAGAGAAGTGAGTAGTAAGATGGACGAGGACAAAAATATCATGAAGGGAAGGAAATTCGGAACAAAATATAGAAGGAGAAGATACTTACAGGAGTTGAGAATTTCATTTTCCGAGTCACTATTATTGGTCAGAAGTGATTCAAAAGCATTACATTTAGAAACCTTGGCATTGGATGTACCTGTGGCAATGGTGATGATTGCAGAGAAGACCACTGTTCCTAGCAGCAGCCAAGGCACCAGCCCAGGGAATCTCCGCTTCATTTGGAGGAAGAGAGGGTGGGAGAAGTTAGCGATTTTTACACAGTACAAGACACTGAGCCAAGTGCCAAGCCAAAGAACAGCTGTATTGATAAATGACCATGAGATGTAATGTGCCACTTTTAGGTGCTTGAATTGATCCGTCTTCATGAAAAAGAGGATAGAAATTGCATAGTGTATGACAACTGCATGAAATAGAAATCTGAAGAAGCCAAGACAGCTCAGGATCATGTCAGCTGGGGATAGTTTCCTGCTTCTAAACCACTCAATGCCGTTAACGATAACAATAAATCCATTTCCCACCATTCCTATGAGGGTTTCAATAACAAGAAGAACAAAGCCGAACAATTGAAGTAAGGTCGGCATCTTTCTGAGCATGAAATGAAAGTGTTTCCTCCACAATAATGTGAAATATCTACAAGGTCTACTGCTGCCTTCTCCCTACAACAGTAAAACTTGTAGAGAGAGGAGGCAGATAGTTTCATTTGTTGATTCTGTTCAGATGCAAATTACAGCTGGTAGGAGTCAAATGCTGAATCTGTAATATCTCTTCTGAGATCATATTTGCAAATTCTACAGAGGTGCTAAATATCATCTTTGCATCTGGCTTAACAAACAAGGATATGTGATTCTTTTATGATTTGTTTATTTTGATTGATGGTTGTTCACCAGTATCCACATTTCCAATCCATCCAAAAACATACTTTTCTTCTTCTTCAAAGGTTCAATAAGTTGACTTAGTTTCTATGTCAAGTTGTTCTAATTGGTTGAATAATTAAAGCAGGGTGTTATATTTGTCAGGCCAAGGGAGGAAGGTTTACAATTACACTCCCTGGTAAACAGGAATTGGTGGAATTAAACATAAGGAAGTGTAGAGAGATTTTACAGACGTGTAAAGGAGAGGGGAAGTCAAAACCTGCCCAATACGGTTTGCTGCCTGAGGTCAAAAAGAAAATGCCTCCCCTGCCCTGGTAATTGTAATTAAGGGTGCTGGGTTAGATCATGGATAAGGAATATCAGACCCAGGGACTAAATGTAGCCCTCCCAGGCTCTCTGTTGGGTTTCAGGCCATCCCTCTTCAGTCTTGATATGTGCTCTCCTAGAATTTCCTGAAAAATATTGACATATTGATATATCTCAGCTACGAGTCTTGGGTGACTGCTCCTGGCCTTGTAGGCCTCTTCTACCTGGCCTAGCAACGTGGTTCAAAGATGATTACAGCTTTGAAAGCTGAGGCAGCTGAATAGGCATC